TAAATTACTTCAAAGCTCCGTAGGAGATCTGATTTAGACGGCTAGGTTCGTGGAATCTCGCGCTAGGCCTGCTGGCAGTCATATGTAACAGCAGTATTACAGTTAAAAACACGCACATCAAAACACCTCTTTACTGTTAACCTAGCCTTACTTTTCCAAATGGGGTTAAAGCTCTGATTGCTTCATTTTTAATAGTTTCAAACTTACCTATATGCTTCTAGTCGACTTTCTCAGGGTCTAAAAAGAGCAAATGCGTTTTGTACTGTATGGCACTGAGTACAGCACCCTTGTGGGCCACCCTTTGCTCTTCTGAAGGTACCAATGCCATCGTAGCAGTTCTTATAGTATACTCGTCTTCGCATCAAACGCCTTTTAGAAGAACGAGTAACAAACACCTCTGTTCCAAAATGACCTTAAATCTTTGTGCAGGATGAGTTTCATAAGTGCTATAATAGTTGTTTCAATCCATTAAACTAAAAAGCAGTGTAAAAGCATGAATAGAACGGACAGTCTTTTCGGCCCATATAATCAAGTACGTGTTCCTCTAAACCTTCTCCAACAATTTCTTTAGATATTTCACAAAGTGGATTAATAAGACCTTATGCAGAAGGAATGAAAATAAGTCAACAGTAAAAAACTATATCAAAGGATGAGCACCCTTAACTGCAACGACGCTAGAGAGCAGCTTAAGGAAAGAGGTTGGTTCCTCTCAAAAGTTAATGCATATCTTTGCTTCCTTATTTGAAAATAAGGAAACGCCATAAAGATTACAATGAGTAATGAGTGGTTTTGATTCACGTACTAACTGGGTACGTAGACATTACTAAGTGACAAATATTAACTGTGACAAAATGAACTGAAACCTTACTGGCATCTCATCAAATGCAATATCTTCGTTTGCTACTGCATCCGACAGGGGGGGTGGGAATGAAACCAAGGATAAACAAAACTTCAGCAAAATCTCTGGAGCTATTGAAGATAAATTAGTCGGGGATATTTTCAGAATATCTGGGTGTACAGAGTGTATGGCTACACGATAGATTCAGCCGTACCAATAGCAATGTCTAAAAGACACGTGTTTCAAGAGTCAAGGAAAGTCATCAAATAGGGGACTACATGTTCAAGACGAGTACTTGGAATACAAAGGTTTTAGGGAATGCATAAATATATCAGAAGCTCAGCGTATAAATACAGTCGGTGACAAAGAACTTCCATTGAACGGAAAATTTTATAAAATCAGTTTTGTCCTTTGCAACGTTGCCATCTTTACAGTCGGAGGGAGCTGGAAGAAGGCGGAATGGTGTTAAAAATGTGGCCGTTACTGAGCAGTGAAAAAAAAAAAGAAACCTGAGATGGGTCTCGAACTCATGGCTTACACTTTCACTTGGTGCTGCTCTTGACTGAGATCTGCTGAAAGACACTCACTAATCAACACTGCTGACACCACAGCGTTTTAGATTCATCGGCGTCCTCGTGTCTTCCATAACAAAGAGGAGAAAACTTTGCAGAAATGGTAGAATTTAAGCAGCCTACCAGATAAATGCCGCTAAAAGGAACTGAAAATGGAACTCGCATCAGTATTTTAGTTTGTGAACATTATTCCGTAGAACGATGTACTTCTTCCTTCATAACCGTCTTGTCCAGAACGGTTCATGTTCCGTTATATAACTTCACTGCGTTGCATGTTCAACAATTCGTTTCGCAAAACCAATTTTTAAATTGTTTCGTTAACAAAAACAAGAAAATTTTGTTGTAAATTTCTTGATAGGAAAAATATAAGAGAACTATATAAGACCGAGGAAGTCCAATTACCGATGTAGGACTAAGATGAAAAAAAATTTTTATTGATTCTGTGTGATATGGTTTCGCATGAAAAATGGCATAATTTAAATTAGACGTTGAATTTTTTGTTTAAAGCAAAATTACTGAAGGGGAATTTCTCCAGCATCAATCTATAATAAGTAAGATAGTTTAAGAGAGAAGATTAAATAGTCGCTCGTCAGCGTCTATGATGGAAAAGAATGGGGAGTTTGTTGGAAAGATTCTGAGAAAAGGAGAGGACATGTAACAAGCAATGTTCAACAGCATTAAGTGTCATTAACTGTGGTGGGGACAGAAAGCTCGGGTAAAAAAAAGAAAGTCTGGGAAGTCTGGGAAGAGATGACGCCCGAAAAAGACCGAGAACTGGGAAGGGCTGAACTGGGTACCTAACTTTTGCATTGAACTACTTGCATTGCAAATTTCTGAAATTTCTGCACTGCTGTTGCTTTTTAAATCGCTTACTGAAATTTAGTTGTCAGAAGACATTGGGAAGTATGCTATCTGCGTATTTTAAGCTTGAAAACTGAGAGGATCTGAAAGGAAACTATCAGAAGAGGGAGGTGAAGAAAAAAATTTTTTGGCTGCTAAGCTTTGTTACAAGTTTCTTATGCTAAGCTGAATTTTTTAGGACTGCATTCAAATGGCGTTTCATACGTTAGTGGTAAGGCATCAGAAGATAGTGCAGAAAACTAGGGACGGCGTGGTTAGAAGCGCGACATTGGATTGAAGGTAAAGTGAACTGATTGCTCCGAATTATAAATATTTCCCTTCTAAAATAGGTTTTCATTTTTGCTACACTTTCGTGAAGCAGAATTAATGTTTACTTTGTGTTTAAAATCAGCACCCGCAGAATGCTGAAGTTCATCGCTTATTATGACTTAGAAAGATCACGTTTTTTGAACAAGGGAGTGTTTTAAATTGTTTATTTTATTTGAAGTTGGATACCTTGAAAAAATTGAGTAAGTTCCTTCAATTAGGAGCGGTTATACACTGCATATATTCAGGTATTTGATAGGACAGAACTGTTGAAATCCGTTGACTGGGAATTTTTGCAGCACTCGACTAGCATCCGGTAGATATTTAAAGTCCTCATTATAAATGCTATTTTATTTTAATTTGTATTAAAAAGTAGTTTTTTAGTTTTTGGACCGTAAACCCTGTTTTTTCATAAACATATAGCAGACTTTTTGTACTTTCGTTTCTGGTTCCTTTGATTCCGGACAATACATTGCTTCGGTTGAACCGCAGCTGCTCTCTATTCCTGTAACAATTTCTCATGCGTTATTCTTCTTTCCTTCCCCCTCCCCCTCTTCCCTTCTACAAAATATTCTTACTAATCACGTTTTTGCTGTCGAAATTAATGTCAAAAGTTTAGTAAATATTTTTTGAACCCTTATTAATTTGATTATATTTATGCTGTTTATAACGGTTTGGGTGTTTGAAACCCTCCGGTTAACTCCCTGTTTGTCCTTCATAGCTCGCACAACTTATTATCTTAAAAAAAAATTTTTCTTTTTTTAATGCTTACCATATTAATAATTTTAATTATCATTTGTTGAATCAGCGTTGAATATGTGCATAAAAGATGAATATTCTAGCACCAAAGTCATTGACTAATACGCGGAAGAAATTATTGATAGTGTTTTCTCCGAATTATGTATTTCATAGCATTTTAGAATTGATTTTTCTGTAATCTTTTTGACGAACAGACCAGTTCCTTGTTCTGTGAACTTAACTGAACGGCTCAGTATCAATAACTGATCTCAGTAACGTTGTGATACGTTATACTTCTAGCTCCTACTGAGCTACCGCAATGTTATCTGCCTCTAAATCGGTGTTCCGGTTTATTTGCTTCGCTGGATTGCTTTCATTGCTTCACTGTGCCTATTCTGCAGCACAGGTATGATTTCAATTTATGATACGGTTTCTGCATTCAGCTTTTGTCGTTAGACAGTTATTCAGTTCGTTTATTTTTTTTCGTCTTTGTGCCTTTATGTATTAGTTCTTGCTTACTGAATAATAGGTGAGACTTTCAAAAACATTTAATTTAGCATCGCTTTTATTTACGTCTGATTGAACAACCCTTTACTCTGCTACCTGGTGACTTAATTCTGCAAACCCTCATAAGTCTGGTCGCTGTAGTTTGCGGAGCATCGTATATTGCGGGAGACTTCCTTCCTGTCCGTTCTGACTTACAGGTTTTTACTTGACTTTCCATTTGCTTTGTAAATTAATTCAAGTTCTGTTTTTAAACTTAGTTAGCAGAATTTTTTGTCAGAATTTGGCGTTGAAGCCTTGATTCAGCTTGGTGTTTTTTAATCACACCCAAGTTCTTCAATTAAAATGTACAATTTTCATTAAAAATTGTTGTCCCTTCTTAATGACCAATGAGTCTTAAAGGGTTTAAAATTGAAGCAGGTAGCTTTTTCTATCTCTCAACTATTCTAGTTTGTTCTTTGAAGGCTTTGCTTTTAGAATAGATCTAAATCATGGGACACTGTTGGAAATTGTCCCTCTTTTTATACTTTCGATCATCGTGCAAGGGCGTTGTCTCCAGAGTACAGTGCATTCAACAAAGATTTTGCTCAAGAGTCGTTACAGGTTCTAATTTGTTGGAAATATGGTTATAATTTTTTACTCTGTTGTAGAATATACTACACTTCTTTATTTTCCTCTTCAGAGTACTTCGAAAACCAAAGGACCGCACGATACCGGCGAATATTTAGAAAGATAATTTACGATGGTGGTTCTCATAGATTAGTCTCGCGAAAATATTCTTCATTTTGTAACCGTGTTTCTGCAGTGCCTTCATTAATTTTTCTACGAAAGACGAAGTATGGATGTATCGCAAAAAATGAAGTCTGTATCAGCTTTCATAAGGCATTTTAACCTTTTTGTTTAAGTCATCAGGGAACCAGTTAAAGCTCTATTTTAAAATATTTATTTTAGCTCTTTAATTTACCTAATTCGACGGCATTTCTTTCCTCTACTGCAACAAACAGACCATCGGGCTTCTCGGCTGAATCTGGTGTTTCGCAAACGGGTTCCTCAAAGTTCCGACACAGCCCCAGCGAGAAGGTATATTTTTTGATTTAAATTTAAGATGTGTTTCGTTTCAACTGCTTTCTCATATTCTTATTCCAGGTCTTAAAGGAATCTTTAGCTTATTGTATTAAATTGGTCAGGAGTAGAGATTTTTCCAATTATATAGCAGCTTTACTGTTTCCGCGCCAAGTGCAGCCGGCAGTCTTCGCAGTAGGTTTTTTGTTAAACTGAATTATCTGTAATTGGTGTTTTTTGTTAAATTTAGTCAGTTTCTCGAAGTGATTTAGAGCATAACAATTCATCTGTTGATCACTAATTGTATTGTGCATTAAATTCCCAATTAGTTGCTAGCATTTAACGTTGAATTGGCTCTTGTGCGTGATCAAATAAAAAGGAACGCAGGGGTTGCTGGGATTTATCGCCTTCAGTTCTGGAAAGATTGCCTAGGTGCTATTTATGGTAGTGACAAAGGCCCGATTCCGAGGTACTTGTTGTCCAAACGATTCTAATTTAAGCACTTTTCTTACTTTTCTTGACCAGGGTTTTTAAGAAGAAGTTTTAGACAGCCTGTTGCATTTGCACTATCCGCTTTCCTTCATTTGGATGACATATCGTTGTTAAAACAATTAGTTGAAGCGAGACAATCAACACTTGGCGACCGTGCGTTTGTAACGCTAAGTAGTGTTGCTGAGTATGGCCAACTTACTCATGGTACTTTGATGAAACTTATAATGAACGAGTTGTGGAAGAATGCAAAACTGGATAGAAGTCAAAGCGATGTGACCTTGCGTAAAGGTTTCCAAGCTGCAGAGCATATGGGGGCAGCGGTTGGTATCATAACTTTGCTCAGGTACGCTTCACATTACCTTCGACTCGTTTTCTTCAATAAAATTCACAGAATAAGTGTGTTTTTTTCGTAAATTGTTTCTTCTTTTTTTCATACCCTCAGTTTGGAAAGAACGTTTTAAGGGACTTGATTTCAGCGAATTTGGTCCTGTATTTGTGTAATATTTCTTTTTATCATAGTCACATTTTAATTGTCCTTCAGTATTATACTTCAGACCTCGACCTTATGTTTCTCTTTAGTACTTGACGTTTAGAACAACTGCCCCGTTTCTTACTCGCGGAATAGTGCTTTTACCTACTGACCTCATGAATGATCACCAGCTGACAACAGAAGATTTATATGATGTCAAATGGGTGGATGGTTTTAAAGGCGTGGTCAAAAGTATGGTGAAAGTGTGTTTTTTTCAAGGAATATTTGATTAATTTTAATATTAATTAGTTATTTTGCTTGTGGACATTATTTTTCATTGCGACCTTGGGTTTTTGAAAGTTGCATGACTAAGTTATTTCTCTTTTACTGTGTTTCCATATTTAGGAAGCAGAATACCGTTTACTGCTCTCACGAGAGTTAAAAGACGAAGTACCCAGACCACTGAGAGCTGCTTTGCTTGCAAATGGAGCTGCAATGGACTTTCTTCTCAGTGTTCTGAAAAAAGATTATAATTTACTGGATACTCGGCTGCAGCGGAATCCTGAATTTTTAGCTTGGCGACTACTGTTCAGAAAATTATTGGGCCGTTATTAAATACCTTTTGTCCTAGTTGTTTAAGATAACTCACTGGTTTTACAACTTTTTTTTGGGGTACTTTAAAAGACTTTTTAGGCTGTTTAGGACTTTGCTCTTTAGCGGGGTTTAAGAATGCTCTGGGAGCCGACTACTAGGTTTCCTTATTTTTCCTTAAAATAAAGTAAGGACAGCTCATCACAGGAACTCAGAATAGTAAGTAAAATTTCCTCACCACAGCACAATTCTGGGGTTGATGAGGTACTGAACAGTATAGTAGAATACATGGAACTAAAAGCGCTGGAGTTTGACATAAAGACAGTGAGCTTTTTTATTATTTTGGTGTTACCACTGTTGTCGATTCTGATGTTACTCGTTGAGCAGTAAATTTATATTGACTTTTTCAGTTTGTGGCATAACGTAGTTTTCCGACTTTATCCGATACTACATGTTTTCTTCTGACTGAAAATGAGCGTGTGTTTCAACCTATGGTTATTTTAAAAATACTTGTGGCTTATATAACAATTAAGCTGTGAACTCAGAAGTGTTCAGCTGTACTTGTTTAAGTTCGTGACGTGTTAGCAAAATCGAATGTGCTTTTCTGTACTGTCTTGCCTCTTGTTAGAAGCGTGAACTTATATGCTCAAACGTCATAGACATTTCTTTTACAAGAACTGAGGTAGAACTGTTCAGCGCACTGAAAAAACTGCTGTGAGCATTCATAGTTTTAAGCAGTATGACTAGTTCCCAATTTTGCGAAAAACAGCAGACATGTGTTACAATCTGTTATTAAATTTTTGGGTGGAGACTTACGCTAATACCGAGAACGCGTAAGAGGTCACGTTGCTTTGCTTCAAACCGTAGAGGGATTTGGAAGACCAATAAGAATTTGAGTTGTTCTTTCGTCGACGCCGATTTTTTCTAAGAATAAGGATGGGTTTTTTTTAATGGAAATCAAGATCGTGTTGAGAGTTTGAAGCTGCACGTTATTGTAGCTTTTAGACGGACAAATGGAACAACTTGAAGTCTGTCAGTCTGTATGGCGCTCACCTTACCTTTAATGGACGCTCTTTGTTGTTCCACTCGAACTTTTGCTTCTTTTTATTCGTAACAACAAATTGTTTTGTTACTTTCTCGTATATTAGTAAACAACTTTGGCAGTTTTTCTATCACAACGTTATTAACATTGTAAGTGTTTCAGCACCTCTCTGTATCTTTCTACAGAAACTTATCTATGTCTTTTGAAACCACCTGGCCTACCGTATTTAATAAAATATGACACTACCAATAAGCAGCACTAGCCCCGCTAAAGCTCCATAATCAAACACTGGAATTTTTGGTTTATTATGTACATAAATACGACAAAAAAAAAAAAACAAAATTTTTTCATCGGTTCGATAAAACCTGATTTCTTCTGTTGTTTTTATTATTATATTTTTTGTCGTGCTTCTGCGTGTTTATTTATTACTATTTTTTTATTACTACTCACCAAGTAATGCTTAAGAGTGTAATGCAGGACACAAATAAGTAAAATCTTATTACATCTAGCAAGTATGAAATTTTTTTTTCAGTTTTTAGTCTCAGTATAGTTCTTAGAAGTTACCTGTCGTGAAGAGAGGGATAGGAACTTTGAAGATAAGGAAGCATTAAAAAAATGAATTGGAAGGATAAAGTTCAGTACTACACAATGGAGCAATCAAAAAGAAGTAACTGGTGGGGAAATAAATACAACTGCTAAGTAAATAATGTATGGCATTCTAAATATCAAGACACAAAAATCTTGAGGAGATTAGTAAGAATAACAATTGAACATATATAATAGGAATAAAACTGATTTAAAAGTCGACCATTGACGATTACGAATAGACTGAACATGTCAACAACGAACAAGGCGATAGCCGTCAGTCTGAATCCTCGCGTCATAGACAGCAAATTTCTCGAAGCAAAATAGAGTGGGAACAACAACATTAGGTATGGAACCAGAAGATCTCTGTAGAAAAAGGCGTGAAGCGTCCTGTGAGCTATGAAGTATTGCATTCTTATTAATTTACCTTGTCTACAAGGTCTGTAAGGCATGGCTTGAAGCGCCAATTGATCAAATGGCTTTTCGTTGGTTCCTAACACTTTACCTTTTATTTTACCTCTCTAAACACTTTAGTCGATTTTAAATCTTCTTGTATTTGCCTTGAGCGTCATCAAAATTTCACCTCTGATTTTCTCGGCCTCTTGAACTTAACACTGTGTGTTGCAAAGGGATGGTATGGTTGTGTTTCGTGTTAATAAATTTGAGGGCACGCTATATTAGACAAATTTACTAAAGTGCTTTATACATATAATTTAATCGCGTAGTTACAAGAATTATTTATAAACAAATAATATTGTTATGTTATTTGAAGCAAAAAATGCATAAATATTTCACTGTGGACTAAAACTTTCTCTGACAATGGCATACGGTAAAGTTGCCAGCAAAATCATTTACCCTTTATAGTCGTATTTTCAAGAACCCTAATTTTCTTATGCCTACTATTACTTTTAAGCCGGTGATCTACCAAACACAGTTGTCTGTAGCAATTTTAATTTTGCTTCACATGTCCTTGAAGAGATTTTAAACTCCAAAAAAAAGAAATTGATGAAGGCTGATAAAGCAATGTAAAAGCTAGTAAAGTTGGGAGTAATTCGGCAAAGATTTTCCGCATTAAAAACTTTCGAAAAAATTAGATTTTTTGGTGAAATTGGTAAAAGGTATATTACCAAGAGAGTGTTTGAGCTACTGGTAGGATACGCACAAAAACCACTTAAAAATCTTGATATCAGAAAAATCCGAAACTTTTACTATTGTCAGCATATTAATTATAAAAGTGGGTTTGTCATTAGTGTGCTGATACCGATAAACCAAAAAATTATACTCAAATGAACTAACAAGTTTTCCATTTATTTTTTTTTAGCTATTTAATTTATTTTGCAAATTTACAGTAAAGTTATTTGTTGTAGTTCTTAATGGATTTTATCACGTTTGTTAAAACTTCATAAACAACGCATTATTATTACAACTACAAGCTCTTTAAAGTATACAGTGCACTTTACCTATCGGTTTGACTGTATCGAAACAATAGAATTTTCATTTTCAATAGAAGAGCTATAACAAAAAGAAGAAGTATTCCGGAACTGCTACCCGTAGAAGTTCGGTATATCTGCTTAATGCTTCTTGAAAATTTGCGAGACAGGTTTTGCAGTTGATTTTGGTGTACAGCAAGCATGAAATTGCTAGTACTTGCATAGTTAAAAGTACGATTGATATTACGGCTTTGTAGTGTTAAATGTGGACATCAGCCGTGAACTGGAAAGGCGCTGGAAATTCAGATTAGAAAACAACGGAGTACATTTTAACATATCTTTTAGCTGGATTGACTCGTAGTTTTCTATCGCTTCTTGAAACTTCTCAATCCACGTATCCTAAAAGCATAAATCTTTTACGGTTTTATATTCTGAAACTTTCATAGCCTCTTTTGCTTTCATGAAAAAACTTCAAAAAGTTTTCAAAAACTTTTTCATTGTTGTATTTTCAATAATTTCTTGGAAAATATCGTCTAAGCTTATCGTTTGTTGTTACCGCCGCTAATACACTATACCTTTTCATTTTTGGTAGATGTTTGAAATGTGTAAACTGATACAACCTGATAATAGCGGGTGAGGTGAATAATAACAAATGCGAATTTTAAGAGCACTGAAAATTGTTAGCTGGAGTGTCGGTCTGACATTTGAATTTGCAGTAATTTTTTACTGTTTGAAATGATAATTGTTAACATTTTAAATAAGTAATTCCCAAAAATCTCAAAATTTAAATGATGGAGGAACAGAGTTCAATAAATCTACTTGAATTGGAGGAATCGCCAGAGTCGACATCACAAAATACGCAAGAGTCTAGTGGTATTGGCTGTTTGTGAACTACATAGTGATCCACCTTTGGCATCTGTGAACCGCTCCGCTGAATCAGAGGTAATGATTATAACTTCAAAACTGTTTTAGCTTATCATAAAACTACTTGTGTTATGGATTAATGACTTGCAGACAGTTCCGCAACACTACAATAAATGGTTAAGAAGGAAACAAACTAAATACCTTTAGTCTTGGTGCAACTTTCTTAATTTTTGTCAACAAAAACATATCGTTGAATAAGAATGCATAGCAGTCCGATGTTTTACCGCTTTCTAAAAAAATTTTACACTTTATCCTTACTGGATTTATAGCAATTACTGTTTTACTATTTTTTCTCTTAGTGCAAAACAGTGTTTTTACCCAACAAAATCAATTGATTAAAACTGAAAAACCAACTTTTATGGACAATTTTAATGTGCTCTAATTAAAATATTTAGTTGAATATAGAAATAAATTTAATTCGTCCAAAACAGACATTAGCATATTGTTCTCCAGAAACTAATTAGGTTTGACTTGTTAAACAACTGAACAAGCGATTGGTAAAATATAATCTATGCTCTACAAATGCAAACTGCGGTCTATCAATGTTCCTTTCAAGACCACTTTCGTTTGTTGTTACTCCTCCAATAGTTTCACTCTCTGTTGCAAAAATTTAAAAGTCAACACGTCTTTGTTGTTATACGTTTCGAAGTTTCTTTGATATTTGGTTAGATATGCAGTTATTTGATGTGGTTTTGGTGTGTAACATCATATTTTCCTCCCCACGGAACCATCGTTGAATGCCAGAAAAATTAATTAAAAAATTATGAAGAGCTAAAAAGAACTAACCCACAAACTCGAGATGACCTTCGTGAACTAATCTTCGCCTGGGATGGGCAAGAAGATTTTCACAAAATTGCCTAGTTAAGGCCGCTTTCAAGAACTGTAAAATGTGTTGCGGTTTAAAATCAATTAGTAACCATATTTTGGTAAGGGTTTAAGTGCTTAAGTTTAAATGCAAATAAAATTCAGAAAAGTCATAATTCACTAATAATGTAAGCCTCGGGATACAGAAAAACTCTGCTGAATAAAATTTACATCAGGAATAAAGCATCGTGGCTCCATATCGAAAATTGATGGCCAAATAACCTGGCTTTGCAACATTTGCAGTCTTTCGAAATTATGTAACCATTGAACTGAGTCGTTAATTGATCCTGAAAATAAGCTTCGTTTGCTACAAAAAGCAGAAGATCACTGGAAAACGCTTAACAGCCTTTTAGAGCGAATTGTGGTCTCAAATACAATGATTTCAAAGCGATTTTTAAATTACTACACTTTTATTGAGTGGTTTTCCTACGGTAACTTACGAAGCGATTCACTGATCGTTTCTATCACCTTCTCAATACGACTCTGATCTTCTGGGTTTTCTGTATATTTCAGTACTTCTTTCAGTAATATCGGTAACCTGGTTATACGTTGTAGCGGAGCTATTAGCAGATCTTCAAGTTGAAGCCTTGAGCATCGAGGATCCGAGAGACAAACCTTGAATTATGAGCTTAAAACATTTTGATATAAAAAGTTTGATATTTTCTTAAGCAGTAAACTCTCTTATAAGTTGTAACAGAAGAAAGATGGAAATTGTTAAACGGACACACTCTTTCAAATTCGGAGAATCTTTCGTCTTTATGCCGCACAGTGCTCAGGTAATCCATAGTGGCTTTATAGTTTATACAATAGGCTTGATACGCGGCTATGTTTGATGAGACCTTACAGAACTAGAAAAATGTAAATGAAGTTTACTTTTACCACGCTCCACTTTTTTATTCAATTGCTTGTTCGAGACCGTTGTCTGCAGTTTACCAATCATGTAAATTTGCAACTAACGTCTTCATTTACTAAAAAATGAAAATGCCAAACCAAATTGCTGTTTGTTGAATATTTCATGTTTTCTTTCTAAATTATCGCTTACGTACAAACTTCTTATGGCTACCGCAAAAAAAGCTATAAGATGCTAATTAAGTTTATCCAACTTGTTTTTTTTTTTCAAATAAATTAAACTTTAGACATAAAAGTGAGTCGGTTTTGGTATTCGTAGTTTAACTAAAAGCAAAAATAAAGAAAAACGTTTAAGTGAGCCAATTTTGGAAGAAAATACAAATTCTTTCCAAATGTAGCAAGTTAAGAAAAAATTTTTTGCTAAAAAAGAAGTTGCGCTCAATTGGTAACTACACTAAAAGCTATCACCTTTTCAAACAGCTGAACAATCAATTCCGTTGTATTAGCAGCAGTCATTCGTTCATTTGGAGGAAACTTTTGTAGTAACGATAAGAAACACTTGCAAAATCCTCGGCTTATCTGAAGAAAAATCTTTCTTTTTTTTTT